GGATTATTTGCTGACCTTGAGGGGCCAGTAATATCATTACCCCATGAGGAAATCCTCACAAAATGTTTGCTACTGATTCACATGTGGAAAGGAACAGCCATGACTTACTTCATCACCTGTGTAGACATCATAAAATTGTTTATTAGTCTACAAACAGAAGCTGAAAGTTAGCAAATCCACAATTATTAGTGCATTCTTTTGTGGATGACAGAGAAGAGAGAAACCTCTCAGCTGGCAAAAGAGCTGGGGCAGAGGTTTGAACCAAAGTGAACCTGTTTGTTGCCACTCCCACTTCAGAAAAAGACAGTTTTACATTTGTAAATAAATTCACTATTCAGCAGAACTCCAGTCTTCCACCAGCTATTTTCCTAAACAGGAGACTTTGCTATGAGATGCTGGATGTCTGCTGCTGTTTCCCAGAGGAGGTTAGTGCCAGAGGGCGTTGGTCTGTTTTCTGAAAGGGTTTGACAGAGTTCTCCCCATGTGTCATGAGAGCTTTTGGTAAAATTAGATTCTGCCCTGTCCACAACAATAAAGGCCATCCCCACATGCAGCTTACACAGTTCACAGCTTCCTGGAGCAAAACCGCAGCAACGTTCCTCTGCTGTCTTTGTCTCTTTTCACAATGGCTCCTGCTCCGAAATCAGGTGTCTGCCCATGGGGTGTCACTGCCACCAAGGTCCTGGGGGTGACAGAGCACAAACCAGGCAGAATATATTCATCAATCAAACAGCGCAGTGCAGATGGGTCAGCATCACCCTGGGCCTGTGGTCAGGCTCCAGTTTTGGTAGCTAATTGTTTAAACAACAGCAATAAATCGTGACTCTGAGGATCTGAGTGCATTCCTCCTTTAGACCTGATTTGTATGGTGAGGAAAGGCTGTTGAAAGGAAGAGCAGGGGCTGAATTATCCCGTGACTTTGCTAAATTTGTCCTTGTGAATGGAGAGAGAGAGAGAGTGAAATACTTGTCTGCAGGGGGGAGCGGAGTGGTAACTGTCAGGAACAGCTGGAACATATATACTGTGTCATGTCTTTTTGTGGCACTGGGCTTCTCTGCTTGCTGAGAGAATGCTGCAGAGGCATGTTAGCATTCTGCTGAGTAAGTGTGCTGCGAGTTCCATATGTAAACAGGGATCAGTTGCTAGATGAGAGAAAAAGGCTGTTCTCCCAGGGCTATGGCTGTCTCTTGCATGCACCTCAACCGTCTCAATGCCTGCGTGGTGTTGTAAATTAAATGTGAGGCTAAATTCTCAGAAAACTATCTGCTTGTGGAAATGTCAGTTGAGATAACTCCGGCATCTCTTTCTCCTTTTATACCTATAAATTTGTGAATGAAATAAATCCTTCTGATTTTTTTCCATCCTGATTATCCATTTGTGCACAAGGAAATAAGAGCTTTCACTAACCTCAGAATTAATGATAACAGCCTCGGTTGCTTATCCATAGAAATGGATAAGCTTAAATAGCAGGCTTCACTTCTATCAGTGGTCTGTCAAGTCATGAAGGAGATTCCCATCAATGCAAGTAGCCATTTTGTTATCTTCTGATTTATTAGTGTTGTTTTCCTCTGGGACATCAGGAAATGGAAGGAGTACACCAGTACTTCCATGACAAGCAGAGAATTCTCTTAGGGATCTGGCTGATGTGAATTGCACACATCCAGGGTCAAACTGACCATGGTTGCTGTGATCTTTGCTAGTGGCACATACGAGGTTAGTCTGGGGAGGGCGGTGTTGCTTTGTGTGGCAAGCTTTTGACAGCAGAGGGGCTGCAGGGGTGGCATCTGTGAGAAGCTGGCAGATGCTTCCTCCATGGCCAACACAGCCAAGACCAGCTGGCTCCAAGACAGACATGCCACTGGCCAAGGCCAAGCTGATCCGTGACAGTGGTAGCACCTCTGGATAATGTCCTTAGGAAGGGGAAAACAACCTGTTCGGCAGTAGAAGAGAGGACTGAGAACTTTCCATTCTATTTCCAGCATCAGTTCACTCTCTACATCTCTTCAACTGTAAGATTTTTAAAACAAAGACCCTGTCATTCACCATCATGATGATGGATTTAAGAAAATAATTTAATGATTTAAATGTGGCTGAAAAATTTGTGCATGGATCAGGAGAAAAGTGAAATCCCACTTCTTGCATCAGGATGAGAAACCATTAATTTTTAAGCCTGTTATTGTCAAACACATGCATGAGTGGTACATTATCAGCACAATGAAAGTTGTCAGTGTAAGAAAATAACTTTATTTGCTCTTTTAATGTTTGGAGCACAAATACCAAGAAGGCAACAGCAGCTTTCATAACAAACACGTTAACCCCCACATGCTCTGCTTAATTATGGCTTCCTGTATTTCTCCTCAGGCTACTGGCATCATAAGTAAGCTGGCACAGATTTTATTTATTCTGAATGTGCTGAGTGCAAGTGGCCGGGCAGGTGCTTCGCAGGCAGCTGAGCCATTCCAGCAGTTCCAGAGGACAGGAGCCTCTGACAGAGGAGTGACACATCGAGCAGGGAACAGAATCACTGCACCCCTCCCTGTCACCATGGCTACCACTCAGCAGGCGGGTTTTGGGCAGAAGTGCCAATTTAAGCAACTGCTGATTTCTTCTTATTGCCCCTGCATCACCCCCTCCCTTGATAAGGTACATGCTATTGCGGGTCACAGCATTCATCAGATCAGGAAACTAGTCCTGATACAGCTGGAAAATAATCTCTCTCTGTTTTTTTGACTCATTCTTTTCCAAACAGTCAGGTTTGTGATTCAGTTCCTCATGTAGACACAGAAATACACCATGTCTGTGCAGTGGAGCTGATGGCAGAAGTGCAGGGACAAGGATGGGGACTGCTGGTGATTTAAGCAGCATTGTCACTGACCACAGCAAAGACAGAGCCAGAGCTCTCCTTAAGGATGTGATCTGCTATTCAATGTTTAAATTCATTTGGTAGCCCAGGCTCCTTTTTCCCCTGTCCTGTCCCCTCCCCACTCCCTCTGCTGCCTTTCTGCAAGTGGCTATGCAGCTGCACAAGGGAAGCCATCTGTCTGAAGCATGATCCAGTAAAAAATGGATGTTGTTAGGACAGTGCAGGGATAACACATGAAGTGTACCCCAACTCATTTTATTTTGACATTTGGACGTTTTAAAGCCTTTAGTTCAAGGCAACTGTATGTGTCAGGGTGACACAGGCAAGTCACATATGGAAGGAAAGTGTGACTTTCTTTTCCTAAATAAGTTCCATGGCTGGATATATCTCACCAAGAAGAAGTGTTGCAAAGCCTTGTTCACAAACCTGCAGTTAAACATGTGAAGTTGTTAAAACATCACTGCGGATAATGGATAAATGGAGCTGAGTGAAGGTGGTAGTAGAATAGAAGGTTGGGAATCAAATAATACTGCAAGATTGCATGAAAGCCATTCTCAAACAAAAACATATCTAAAAAAGTCAGAGCACATTTGAAATATGCTTGTAGTTTATTCATGACAGTTTTCATTTACTATAGGATTCTTTTGAGACCAGTGATAATGTAAAGCACTAGCAACAGGAATCTATGAGTTTGTACAGATTTATTTATATTTTTATGTGAATTTACATAGGGCCTGTATTTATACAGTTACGTCATTTATAGTGCATATTATATTAAATATAATAAATACATATTGCAATCACCTTTTTGCTTAAAAACTTGAAAAACACATTTCTAGTTTGTGAGATTTGAAAAGTGACACTGCAAGCTGTTGTCAGCCTGGCCTGCCAAAGAACCCCAGCAGAGACCTGGGCTTTTCACAGAACAATTCTATGAAAAGATTAAACTCTGCCATGGGCAGAGTGCTGGTGCTGATCTCACCCTGCAGGGTCAGGCTGCACTCTGAGTGCAGGAGAGACTCCTCTAAGTAACAGAGTGAAGTCAGTGAAGAACCACTGCATCCTCTTTAAGTAAGTCAGAGTTTTTAAAGTCTTCTGAAAAATGAACACAGATTGCCCTGTCCTTGAAAAGGCAGGAGTTTGCCACCCTGGAAAGAGGCACAAACTACAAGGGTATCGGCAATATTATGCACTCTGTGGGCGTATTTTTTGGTTCTGACAGTGGAGTGGCAGTCTCCTTGAAGTCACTTTCTGAAACAGTATGTTTCTGAAAAATCTGTGAGGATGAGAGCAGAAAAATCAAGTTTATTCCTGTAAAATTCGTACAGGGGGCTAAATGCTACTGGAAAAACCCTTAAATCCACAGACTAACGAAGCTTAATAGGTGTTGGAAGCTGTAGAGGAGATTTCAGTGGGGACCGGCCCCACCGGCCCTGGTTTTGCCTCCCGCTGTGGACAGAGCCCTTCTCGTGCCGGGTCCCCACGGGGACCTCCGCGGTCACCGGCGCTCCCACGGCTCAGCCGCGGGGCTCGCCCACCCCTCTCCGCCGGGCAGGGGCTGCCGGCATCGCGGGGCGCCGGGCAGGGGCTGCCGGCATCGCGGGGCTCCGGGCAGGGGCTGCCGGCATCGCGGGGCTCCGGGCAGGGGCTCACAGCATCCGCGGGCTCCGGGCCGCGCTGTCCGGGGCGCTGCCGCTGCCGCTGCCGCTGCCGGGGGTGTCGCAGCCGGCGGCGGCGAGCCCCGGCCGCCCATCACGTGCTCGGTGTGTTGCATTGTGCTGGCGGCGGAGGGAGGGCTGGCCGTGTCAGTGATCAATGTCATGACTTCTTCCGCGGGCTGGAGCCGCAGCAGAGCGCAGCTGAAGGAAGCTGATTGCTGCGGTGCGAACTGGCTGGGAACAATACACACAGCCGCGCACCCGCACGGGCGCACACACGCCCGCACACACCGGCGCACACTCGGGCGGACACGGCACGCACACACACGGCCGGGCACACGCGTCCCAGCAAACACACACACACTCACATCCCAGCAAACACACACTCACATCCCAGCAAACACACACTCACATCCCAGCAAGCACACACGCACATCCGAGCACACACGCACTCGCATCCCAGCAAACACACTCACGCACTTACATCCTAGCACACACACAGACACACGCACGGACGGACGCACGGACGGACGGACGGACACACACCCGCACATAACAAGCACACACGCACTGGCAGCCCGCACCCTGGCTCCCGCTCCGCCGCTCCGCACCCGGGGGGAAGATGAGCTCGGGGGACGTGGTTTGCACTGGATGGCTCATCAAATCACCCCCCGAGAAGAAACTCAAGAGATACGTAAGTGCAGAGGCTTTGCTGATATTTTTTTTTCTCACTAAAGGGATTTCGGCATGTGCTCGCTGTCTGACTCTTCTTTTGAAATCTCTCGCCCGTTTCGGCTTCGCCTTGGACCAAAACAAAAAGAATTCCAAGTCCATGCGCTTATGGAGTATTTTAGTTCCACCGACATTCTTGTGCCTTCTGGAATTAACCTTTCCCGGCTCGTAAGATTACAGTATTTCAGCTGTTATGCAACATATTTTAGGTTAAAAACCGCATTTCGGTTTCAGTTAACGTTGCTGTAACTAACAGAATTGTTGTAATAGAATTGCAGATGTCACTTTTCCAGGGACAGACAAGAACATCCTAAAAGGAAAGGGGGAAAAAAAACCCAAAGCCAAACAGCCAAAATTCTAGTAATTTAAATTCTGAGGCTCGGTTTTGTTAAGATGCTCTGTAATTTCTATGACACTTGCTAAAGGCAACATATGCAATAGTTTTATTTACCAATGCCAGATGCAGTTGTTAGCAGAAAGCTTCAGAAAGCTTTTTGGTCTGTGATAAAGAGGTGCTGGAAGATGCTGTGCTGTAAAGTTCCTGATAGCTGAAAGGTGAAGGGGGCTGGGGAGAAGAAGCGAGCCCTGAATGGAGATCTGCAACTGCACTATGGGCCCCTTGTTTCATTCTCTATCTGCCTGCCTGTTTGTCTGGAAAAAAAGAAAAAAAAAAAAAAAAAAAAGGAAAAAAAGGATGTGTGTTGCAAACATAGGAAACTGTCTCATTGCAGGGGTGCAAGGATCTGGGTAGGAATAAATGACCCTTAAAAATTTGCTTGGGACAGCATTAACAATATAAGCCCCTCATGAGCCATTTTGCATACTCATTTGTGGTGGTTCTTCATCAGGCACGTTGTTATGTTCTGCTGTGACACTTTTGGAATCGGTAATACCCGTTTGAGTCATGCCCTTCTAACCTGACTTCCCCCGGAGCCCTGCACCGTACTCGAGGATGCCGCCGGCCGTGTCTCTGGCGCTCCGAGCCGTAGGCACAGCTTACATCATTTGTCGTATTCACTTCTGTTTATCAGCATTTTCTCTGGAGTGCTGATGTTAGCTTTTCCCGGTAATATGAGGCATAACTGTCTTGTGGAAGAATATGGTGGATATCATTTGGTAGTGTATTTTTTCTTTGGCTAAAAACTAGCAGAAAGGATAATTTACTTGGAATTATATTTAACTTCTTCTTAGCCAGAGTTTCTTCCTGTAGACCACAGTATTGCATTGAAATGGCTGAATATTTGCTTTGTTCAGTTAGCATTTTCCAATTCTAAAATAGCCACTATGATGTGTCTCACGGGAGCTGCAAATAAATTATGGGCATCTCATTTTTGCTGTATTTTGTAACGAGTGTACTAATAGCACTGTATGGCAGGCACAGTGTAAGAGCCACTGATTCACCCAGCTGGTATCATTAGTAACTCTGTCAGTGAAGCTATTTTTGATGACTCAATATTCATAAAAGGGCAAAGTAGAGAAAACAGAATGTGATAAAGCTGGGATTTGAAAGCCCCCATTATACAGTCAAGATAATAGTCACAACAGGGGCTCTGATCAGCTCACAAGGCTACTTGCAGTCTGCTCTGCTCAGATTTTGCACTACAAAACCAGGGGAAATTTGGTCTGTATTATTCCCCAAACACCATTAGATTAGCCAGATCTCAGCAGATTAAGCTTTGTTTTCTATTTAGGAGGATAAGGTAGTCCTTGGTCCATAATAAAGCAGAAGGAAATCTGGTGCAAGTACAGCAAAGCTTAACGTCCTTTCTCATATGACTGGTTACACAGTGGATGCTACAAACCAAATGGAAATTGTCTCTCACCTGCTGTAATCTACTTTTCCCCTATTTTTCGTAGAGTCTCACCAGCATGGCAGCTCCTGCATCTTGCACTGGGGTAGCAGCTAGCTCAGGCTGAACCACGGTGACTGCTTAAAAACAACAGGGCTTTAAAACAATGCCTGTTTAAACTGACTTCAGTAAGTGTCAAGTGTCAACCGCGTACAGGAGAATGGTGTTGGCTCTGGTTCTGAACTGACAACACACATAAATCCCCGAGTTCAACACCACCCTTTGTGTCCAGCTGGAAAAGCCCATGGTGTGAGCCGATGCTTCCAGGGAGCTTCAAGTGCCAGCTTGGCCTGCTGCTCACGGGACCTCTGTACGCTGCCCAGCCTCATTTGCTCTCATGGGATTGTCTCCCAGTTTACATTTTCCTGAGTTCAGCATCCGGCCTTTGTAAGGTCTGACCTGAGGGTCCAGTGTTTTACACACAGATAAATTCTTAATCGTTCATCTGTTACATTTATCAGAAGAAAATCCATTTAATTTCAGTGGATTATGTCGTTAAAAGATCAGAAAAAGCAATGAACTCAGGTTGTGAGATTGGGAACTGCAGTAATCCCACTGAAGCCACTGGGAGTATTTGCAGTGTTTATAAAATTAAACAAATTATTCTTTCCAAGACTGGAGCCTGAAGACCAAAGTATACCTTCATTTATGTTTGTTCTTTGGTGAAAGCAATTAGGTTTTCTACACATAAACAAGTCCGAATTTGCCTCTAGGTAAGCAGAACATTATTTTCAAAACTTTCAAAGTGAAAAGCAGGTGTTAAGAGGCTGTATTTTCCTGCAATGTCTCACAAAGCCGATGCTCTTAGTAACACTATTCTTAGAAGTGTCTTATCATTCCCTAACAAAGGCTGCTCTCTTGCATGTGCAGGAAACGAACATGAGATTAATTACCCTAGTGTAACTTTCTGTAAAAACAGAGAGCTTAATGCTAAACACAAAGAATTCGTTAGAAAGCAGAGGGAGCTTTGCTACATCAGGCAAGTACTCTAACAGTGAGCTACATCAGGCAAATACTCTAATAGTGATTTAATGGCATGGACAATGCTTTTCTCTCAATCTGATACTTGAACCATGAAACCACCACGTCAGCCTCTCTATAGAGGCTGTTGTGCAAGGAGTCTCCCAGGAGAGTATTTAGTGTGTGTTGCAGTACTTTCTCCTCTGAGTGTGACCCGAAAGCTGTGCTGCTTTCATTTCCCCACTCCGTTCCAGCTTTTCTCACCGACCAGGTCTGCGTGGGCCTGAGGGTGCCAGGGAACAGCCAGAGCTGTGGGGAAGCTGCTATGGGGCAGGAGACAGAGAGGAAGAAGCTGCTAACAAAAACTAAGAAGTGGTGGTGATGGAGGTAAAGTCCACCCTGCTCTAGACCAAAAATATAAAGTATCAGTCATAGCTTGACATTCAGCCCCACAGGAGGAAAACACACTGAAGATTTTTGCTGTTGATGTTAGTGGATCAGTGAATACCAGCCTCTGCAGGAAATTAGATTTAATGGGGAAATCTGCTTCAAATTTGATGGGTTTCACAATTCCTTATATTGATGCTGAGTAGATCAATCCCAGTTCTGTATTTTCAGTATTGAACAGCTGGCTCCTTGATGGTTTTCATGTGGAAATTTATCTGATCACTGACTGTTATTATTTGTTGTTTATTTATTGGGGGAGGTGGAAGGAAGGAATGGTTTCATGGCCTTGAAAACAAAGGACTTAACACAGCAAGTGCAAAAAGTCACGACGAAAGGAAAAACAACATAGAAGGCCCAGAGAATGTCTCATGAAATAAGAGACCCATGCTATTGAGATGACACATTGCTCATGTGCTGACGAGAAAAATGAGATGGGAATTTTAACACACAGCTAATTGCAACCTCTCCTCAAATCGCTGTCCCATTGTTTGTCACACAGTGTGCAACAGCAGTAGCTCCTCTGAAAGCCCTGCCAGTGTTTACTTGCTGTTAGTGTTATGTGGTTTGCAGTAGTAGAGGGCCATATACAGATGTTTGCTTGTTGTGAGTCACTGCAGCTCCATTTGAGCTAACACTGTGCAGCTGTACCCCAGCTGAAGAGCTATTTTTAATCTTCAGTACTATTCAAATTGATGAGGGAAGACCACTTGTTCAAAAAAGGGCAAGTTTCCCACTTTACTTGAGTGACTGATTTCTTCATACATTGTTGAAAATCAAAATTTGTTGTCAACATCTCTAGAACAAGAGTCCCAAATGGACCCCATATTAGAAAATGCAGCCTTGCACTTCCTACCACGCTTCTTCTTGGAGTGTCTGGTCTGAGAAAACAAATTGAGGTGTAAATGTATGTACCCTATGGCAAAAGCTGGTGGGGCAGAGTTCTTTGCTGCTCTGTGTGTGTGTGGGGCAGTAAGTGCTGCCAGAAGCACGGAGCAGAGCCCAGCCCAGCTCTGACCGTTGGGGGATCTGCCAGGACCCAACCGCAGCACACCAAGGCTGGGGGTTTAGAAGATAAGAGAATCTAGGCGACTTCTCCATTTTTAGCTGAAGTTCTGGTATTTATCAGGAGAACAAACAGGAAGTTACTAAGAAGAAAAAAGTAAAGTAGAATTATGGAAGAGTTCGCTGAAGTAATAGGAACAGGAGTTGCAGAGCACTGCGAAGGGCGGGTGGGATGGAGAGCATCTGCTCTCTGATCCAGCACTGGGCTGCTGTCACCAGAGGACACTGCCACCCTCCCCTGAAAGAAATCCCCAAGTGCTTTGTGAGGTCAAGTACTTCTGCTGCTTTGGAGTTTGGGGGAAGTTTCTGAAAAATATTCTCAAGAAGAAACCCAAATTTAATTTTTATCCTTAAGTCTTTCTACTTCTAGATGCTTCTTACAAAGCTTCACCTGTTGAGTGCTGTCCCTTTTGAACAGAGAATTCTGACCACCTTTCATACTTTCCTGAATAAATATCCCCAGCTCCCTGAGTTGGTTTAACCAGTTTGTGTGGGTTTTGTAACTGTGGTTCATAGGCTGGGTGGAAGTAGGAGTCATGTGGGCTAAAGTTGTCAGAGCCCTTTATCCAGTTGTATGTTTTGTGCCTATGTTTTTTTCTGTTGTTACTTCATTTTAATATCCAGTGTATATACTGTCTGGTTT